CATGTGCTGTGCCAAGTTCTCTTTTTTGTTCTCCTGTTCTGCGTGTTGTTTGCGTTCCGTTTAACGAGGCAAAAGGGACGGAAAAGCTGTTGCATATGTAAACTTAATGGCTCCGCGCTGATTTGATTGATGCCATGGTATCAATTCAGGGACAGTGTGTATCCATTGCAATAAGGTCAAGGCTAAGCCCTTAAGCTCTTATTTTTACAGAAAATACGCAATGGATATTGTCAGCGGGCGATGATAGTAACCTATTTGGGCGAAATGGCAATATCACTTTTTGATTAAGCTATTAAGGTTAAGTGGGAAAACTTGGTTCAAGACTGTTTATTATTTAAAATCATATATTCCTGTGCAATTGGGGCAAGTCCACAGCAACAGGCTTTCATTGATGATTACAGTACCGAAATCAATTTCATGCTGGCAGCTTTGATGATTTCCCAAGTAAACGGGCACGCAATGAAACGCAGTTTATAATTTTTGCCACTAAACTCCGTGGCGGCCAAGTGCATGCCAGTAATTTGATGAATTCGGCGCGTTTTCATCTCTAGCATTTTCACTGTCATGCCTTGCTGGAGACGACTGGCTGAGTCTGAGATGGAGAAGATGGAGAATTCTCACCGACCATGAACTCATCTCTGGTGCGTTGCACAAAAGGATTTTGCCAAGTGCCCCATGTGTGTGAATGTTTTCGAGGAGGAGCATTCATGGACGCCGTTTACTGCGTAGTTTTTCCACTACAGTTTTTCCCCGCTTGAAAACCTCCGCATCGTCGTCTGCAGCCCCCAATTCCTTAGACACGTTTCAAGTACATAGCGAAAACGAAAACAGTGCGCATTATTTTCACACTGGAGAGGAATGTGACGAGAGAGAAAGTGGCAAAAGGGAAATTCTGCTTATCATCGTGTCACTTTGCATTACATAAAACAAAAAAGTGTGAGAAAACCCTCTGAGAAATGAGAACTTGTAAACTACTAGACATAGGTATGTGGGTGAATTACAATCAAAGAAATCGGGGTTTTTAATTGACAGCTCAGTGTCAATAACTAAAAAATATCAACAAATATTTGCAAGATTACTCAATGCAGTGGAATGGGGAAGTACGAAAAAGAAAGCTTCAAAACAAGGCAATGAAAATGGATGGGGGCTTCCCTAGAAGGCATCGTTTATGACAAACTAAACTAAATTCACAATTACAGTATTGGTTGCATTACCAGTAATTTGAATTTTTCTCAATTAACTAATAATTTAGCTAAACTAGTTTATTTTAATATGCGTTTAATTAAAACTAAAAATATTAAGACATTAATCTTCTTGAAAAGTTAGGATTTGGCAAAAGTTTAATGTCAGTTCAAAAATTGCTCTCATCTTGAATATTTTTTTTTAGCTTATTGATTATAGCTGGGAAACCAATAGACATGCGTCAAATGCATATTTTCGACGGAGGAGGGCAGAACGAGCTATAGTTAATATGGTTAGAACTGGCTGGTAATCACGAATGGCAAATAAAAGTTTATCAACAATATTAATAGTAATTAAAATTCTTATAGTGAAGATAGTGTGGTATTTTCTTCAATACTAATTTGCTACAAATAAAATGAAAATAAAATTGTTTAAAAGACAGGGTCAAATTTTTTTAAGTAAACAAATATTTTAGGTTAATCGGTTAAAACGGAAAAGCTGCTTCGATAAAGTAATTCAAACACCGCAATCGATAATATCGAACTTACTGTCGAAGCTTGGCCACCTCTTTTGTGCACGGGCATTTGGGGTGGGAAAATAATTTTCCCCAATGAGTGGGCGAAGGCTGCCAACTGTCGACTGGCGCTTAGTCATTAGATGACCACAACGATGACTGTGTTTTAGTGGATGGGCGGCGAAAATCTTATAAATGCCAGCAAAAAACAACAGGCAAACAAAGCAAAGCAAAAGAAAACAAAACAGCAGAGGAGAACCAAAGTGAATAGACGCGGCCACAAAGCGGACTTGTCTCATTATTTTGTGAGCCGCCCTGGCTATTTGTTATTGTTTTCTACGATGATATGCTGGGGAATTTCGCTTCCACTGCCGAGTAAATAATGTCATAAGGTCACACGCACAGGCACACATTAAAGGGGGAATACGCGGGCCTAATGGTCAGCCATTGTTGCTGCCCTTGTTGTTTTTGGTCATTTGTCTTGGGACTCTGGGCTGGGCACCGTTGATGGTTTTATATAAAATAGCATAATAAATGGCCACCCCAGGCCCAGTCCTCTAGATTCGATATCGCAGCCATATTAAATGTCACCCCGACGTTGACGTTATTTGCTTGCAGGTCCCGTCCCATTACGAAGGTGATTGAAACAAATTAAAGCGAAAAAACAGTGCAGAAATTCAATTATTAACAGGGCAACGCGTTGAAAAGCTTTGACCACCGTCCCTCAACGTGGAAAATGGTTAAAAAACTGCCTCCTGTCGAAGGCAGCTGTGTAAACTTTTCACTCTCCACTCGCACCCACTATCTCTCTCTCTCTGTCTCTCTCTATCTCTCTTACACTTTTTACCTTTTTGTGAGTTCCGGCTGGGTAACACACACATGCGTATTATGGTTTGCCAGACAGTGAGAAAAAATCAACAAAAGTGGGTTAGAAACTAGGTTAAATTGTCACATACTTTAATCTTTATAAATTTCTACAATAAAAATTTAAGTTAAACATGATGGCTTGGGCAAAGTTATGATTTGACCCTAACTAAAAACAGTAAAGGTAACAGAAATCAAATTTAAATTTATGCGATTTTTTACTTTTAATATTCTTATAATTTCGGAAAACTAAAATTGTATATTTGACCATAGTTTTCCTACAAATTGGATTGTTGTTGTTTACTGTTTTTGTTTTAATGTTAATACAAGTAACAATACTCAAATTAGCTTGTATATCAAGCCTTTCAAAAAACCTTTAAAAAATAGTTTTTAATTAATTAAAATGATGTTTTTTTTCTCCGTGCAAAGGACGCCCACGCGTCTCAATTTCCATTTCCACCGGCAGGCAGCTGGCCCAAGCGAAGTTGATCGAATTTACCTGTTTGTCACACATACGCCTTGTGGTCCCAGTTAATTTCTGGGTCTTTTATTTTCTGTTCTCTTGCATGTGGGTGTCGCTGTGTGTGCGACATGTTTAACATGTTTTCGCTTGGCAATCGACGGTGGGCAGTCGGCTTGACTTTGTGCATTTGTGCAAATTTGTGTGCCTAACTGGAAATACTGGACCAGTTCCGCAATGTCCTCGAAGTGAAAACTATGCAGCAGCCACACACATGTGGCATTTTCCTGCCTCAGCCAGCCATTTCCCTCAAATTGAAGTTGATTTCTCCCCCTTGAAACAAGCCATGCAAACGAATGAGTTTTCCCAGTTTGTGCGCGTCCTTCGTTTGGCTTCATTTCCGTTCAAGACGACAGTGGCATCTTGTTTCCCGTTTAAAGAAGGCTATGACTGCTTTTCATTTAATTTAGACGCCATGCTAATTTTAATTTAACAGTGGTCGTCCAGAAACAAGCCACAACAAGTTGACCACATTTGTGGAGTCTGCCAGACCCAAACGTCCAGCTTAAATGTACTTTTAGTTTTCGTGGTTTGCCGGGGAAAGTTTAGCTGGTGGGAATGGAATTCAGTACTCAACAATTGCTATACACCAATCAATCAATCAGGAGACAGATTGCAATTGCAAAACTTGCACAACTTGGACATTTTGCCTTCGTTGTTTACACAAAAAATGAGTATATCAATTTCAAGCAATAATACGTTTTTCTGATAAGAGAAACGTGTATTTGGTTCGAAAGCATTAATGGTCTTTGTTTCGAAACAATATCAACACTATAGGTTCATGTACAGCACGTTCCAATAGTCAAGATTTATTTAAACTTGCATTCGTTTTTAGATGCTTGTTCACCTTAGTTCTTAAGAATTTGTATGTTATGTAGTACATACTTTGTTATTAATATAAGATCTCACTGTAACATAGGTAGCTTATTCTAGTAACAGTAGGTTATAAAAGAAATACAATAACTAGGCATTTTTTTACTCAATAAAACATTTAAAAACAAGAAGGAAAGTAAACTTCGGCATGCCGAAGTTCATATACCCTTGCAGCTATTGCATGAATTAAATACTTTTGAAAACATTTAAATTATGATTTACCTGTGTATATGTTGTAAAACATTGAAGCTATGATGCTTTACAGCTCAATTATTAGATAGTTATTTTATATATTTTTATTATTTCTATGGGAGCTATATGCTATAGACGTCCGATTTTGATAAAATTTAAACCATAATTCTGAAATAATTAAACATTGCTATATGTCGAAGAACTAAACAAAAAATTAAAAAACAGAAAAGTTATAATTTTTTTTCATTTATTTTTCCGATTGTTCCTATGGGAGCTATATGCTATAGTCGTCCGATCCGGCTCGTTCCGACTTATATACTACCTGCAATAGAAAGACAACTTTTGGGAAAGTTTCATGCAGATAGCTTTAAAACTGAGAGACTAGTTTGCATATAAACGGACGGACAGACGGACAGACGGACGGACAGACGGACATGGCTAGATCGACTCTACTAGTGATGCTGATCAAGAATATATATACCTTATAGGGTCGGAAACGTCTCCTTCACTGCGTTGCAAACTTCTGACTGAAATTATAATACCCTCTGCAAGGGTATAAAAATACGATTTTGGGTGTAAATGCTCACCTTGGTTTTCAGTGTTGCCACAGTCCTCGTTATTTATCAGCTATCTGTGTTATCTCGTAACAAAGAAATCACAGGCAAAGCCATTATCTCCGAAGGCACACACACAAATGCACCTGCAAAGCCTACGATTAGATACACCTGAATGTTTCATTTTTATCAGACTATGGGGCTTTTTCGTGGCTTTCACTGCGATGTCAATTTTTGAGTAATTTTCACCGATAAAGAACTATCTACTTGACGAATCCCATATTTTTCTATTTGCTTGCAGTGCATGTGATGCCAAATATCCATCAGCGAACGCGGAGTACTATGTGAATGCAGCAATCAGCAGTTAGCCAGCAGCAGCTCTCTCTCTCTCTCTCAGTTAACCAAATTAACCAATTGATGTGCCATTCAGGAGCAGCAGCGCAGAAACAGGATACGAGCAACGTAGAAGCTAAGCGAGAGTATTATCAAGAGTCAGGCGCATCGCAAATGCAACAATCCCTCCAGTAAACAATACAAAATCCAACAAACAAGAAGCGAAGAAACAGGTGAGTGGCTGATAAATTGGCCTGACGAAGTCACCGTGAACTAATTGATTGCCCCACTTTATTCCAGTGTACATACAACTGTAACGAATTTAAAATCCAAGCAAGCGGTTAGCGGTTCTACGGAGTAACAAATTTCACATCCCCCGAGTCCTCGTCCGATAAATGCCAAGATAAGTCGCTACCGCTTTAACACCGCCATCAACATTACCCAGCAACAGAAGCTGATCCAGCAACTCCAGCAGCAGCAGCAGCAGGCGATTGCTTTTAAGGGGAAGAAAAACAAGCAGAAATTGCAGTTGCAGCAGCCGTTGCAGTTGCAGATTGGTCAGGAAACAAACGGAGGAGTAGGAGGAGCCGTTAGAACCGGAGCAGCAGAGCTGTTGGGCTTAACCAGAGGTGCCGATAACAATTGCAAGACGCCAAACTCAACCGCAAAAGTCGCCAACATAACACATAAAATTTTCGGTTGGCTACGCAAATCACGCAACAAACGGCCAGTCGAGATCCTCAACAGCGATTTCGGCGAAGACGGCGACGAGGGCGTTGGCGAGGGCAAAGGCCAAGGCGCAGGCGAGGGAGGAGGAGCAGCTGCCAGTACAGCTGGCGGTGCAGCCGATCAATTTTCAGTGGCAAGCGTTAAAAACAAAGCCGGCAAGCTGAATACCACACAGACAGCCACGGAGACCGCCATCGATTCAAACGAACCCAAATCTGAAAAGATGTCATCGGGCACGTTTGTGGATCGAATCGACCCGTTCGCCAAACGTTCGCTCAAGAAGAAGGGAAAAAAGAGTCAAGGTTCCTCGCGCTACAGAAATTCTCAGGATGTTGAGCTGCAGCAATTGCCGCCGTTAAAAGGTTAATATTCATTTGGGAATTTCACAAACATTATGGGCTACTAAAAATGTTATTACACCTCTCATTTCTTGCCAACAGCCGATTGCTCCAGCCTAGAACAGGAGGAGCTGTTTATACGGAAGCTGCGCCAGTGTTGCGTGTCCTTTGACTTTATGGATCCCGTCACGGATTTGAAGGGCAAGGAAATCAAGCGGGCCGCACTCAATGACCTTTCCACCTATATAACACATGGGCGCGGTGTGCTTACGGAACCGGTTTACCCGGAAATAATACGCATGGTAAGCATCCGGACTACCACAACACATTTTCTATTCATATTTACTTAACAATCATTTAATGCTTTTGCCAGATTTCATGCAACCTATTTCGCACGTTGCCGCCCAGTGAGAATCCCGATTTCGATCCCGAGGAGGATGATCCAACATTGGAGGCTTCCTGGCCACACCTGCAGCTGGTGTACGAGGTCTTCTTGCGGTTCCTGGAGTCGCAGGACTTCCAAGCGACCATCGGCAAACGTGTGATCGATCAAAAATTCGTATTGCAGGTGAGTCTAAAAATTAAGCGGCTTTAAGTTTAATTTTTTACTCAAACTGGTTTTTCAATAGCTGTTGGAACTGTTCGATTCGGAGGATCCACGGGAGCGTGACTTTCTGAAGACGGTATTGCATCGCATCTACGGAAAATTCTTGGGACTGCGAGCTTTTATTCGAAAACAGATCAACAATATATTCTTGCGATTTATCTACGAGACGGAGCACTTTAATGGAGTCGGTGAGCTTTTGGAAATACTGGGCAGGTATGTTTAACTGTGTGAAATAACCTTTTGCTTGGCTAAATGTTAATGTGTTCTTTGTTTTACCAATCAGTATCATCAATGGATTCGCCTTGCCTCTGAAGGCCGAACACAAGCAGTTTCTGGTTAAGGTCCTATTGCCGCTGCACAAAGTCAAATGCCTGTCGCTCTACCATGCTCAGCTGGCGTATTGCATTGTACAATTCCTAGAGAAGGATCCATTCCTTACCGAACCGGTGGTGCGCGGCCTGTTGAAGTTCTGGCCCAAGACGTGTTCCCAGAAGGAGGTCATGTTCCTGGGCGAGATTGAGGAGATCCTCGACGTGATCGATCCGCCGCAGTTTGTCAAGATCCAGGAGCCGTTGTTCCGCCAGATTGCCAAATGCGTGTCGAGTCCACATTTTCAGGTGCTTACACTACAGAAGAAATTTAAAAAGAACAATAAGGCATAACTTAACTGAAAACATACATTGTTTTCCAACCATTTACCATGAGTGCTATTAAAAGTGTTTAAAATTCTGGTTTTTCTTTCTTCAGGTTGCTGAGCGGGCTCTTTATCTGTGGAACAATGAGTACGCCATGTCGCTGATCGAGGAAAACAATGCGGTCATTATGCCCATCATGTTCCCGGCCCTTTACCGCATCAGCAAGGAGCACTGGAATCAAACCATCGTGGCGCTCGTCTACAATGTATTGAAGACGTTCATGGAGATGAATTCGAAGCTGTTCGACGAGCTGACCTCCAGTTACAAGGCGGAGCGGCAAAAGTAAGTTCGGAACCGGAACAGATGATGGACAATGCATAACCTGCTTCTTAACCACCTTTTAGGGAGAAGAAACGTGAGCGTGACCGCGAGGAGCTGTGGAAAAAACTGCACGAACTCGAATCCAATCGTTCTAGTGGGCGCACCGCCGGCGGCAGCGCTACGACATCGAACAGCGCAGCTCCCGCGGCGTCAACGTCCCTGCAGCCACCCAGCACCGCTGGCCTGAACTCTCATCAGCAGCAGTCGAATAGCAGCAGCAGCGGTAGCCTGTCCAGCGGCGGTGCTGGCGTCGACAATAATCCTGCGACCACAAATGCGAAAATCAAACAGGATAAGGCGGACAACTAAGCAAGCAACGCGAGGCGCGCCCGAAACTAACAATAAAACCAACATCAGTAAAAGCGTAAGCGTAACGCGTTATCCGATATCCGTTATCCGTAAACGGCAGAGACAACAACCACATCTAAAGGAGAAATAAATAGTTATACTAAACCACACATATGCTAAACTTTAAAATCAGAAAATATAAAACTAAAATGTATACTCGATTGACAAGACACCAACCAAGCAGACCCGCAGGACGCTTGGCCGGCTGTTGAAGGAGGTAGAACCGAAATCTGGAGCGGGAGCTGAATCAGATCCCTGAGCGTGTGTGTGTGTGTGTGCCGTACGGTAGCGGCATAAAAGAAATCTTTATAAATAATGTATCTTACAACTACAGCTACACACACACACACACTCACACACACACACACACGTGCGCGACACGTATAAATATATATTACAAAAGAAGAAAAATAATTATTAATTACGTTTAAGCGAAAACAAGTTGAATAAAGAGAAAACATGTTAGTAAGTGAAAAGCAGACGAGCGATAACTATAACGGATTGACGATTGTTGAAGCGCATTGAATATTATTAACTAAACATATTGCTAACTAGATCCTAGCATAGATCAGCCATCCTATCCCATCCACGAACACAACAACAACAACAACATCCTACTCACCAGAATGTTCACTTGCAATTATATTTGCGTTCATTTGAAATGTGTAAAATAGTTGAAACTGCACTGCATCCTAAGATTTTGATTTAACTAATTGCTCCATAGAACGGCGTGTCTTAGTCCAGATTTCCCACTGAATTGTATCACTAACCATACAACATATAGACTGGTCATTTCATACGACGCATTTGGACACAAAAATTCGGACCGCGGAAGGTCCACCGCTCTCACAGCAGCAGGTCCATGCACTTCGTGTGCGTTCGGGTTTTTTACTCTCTCATTCTTATTCTCATTTTTATGCTCGCGCACTCATTGCACGAGTTCAGTCGTTCAGTCGCAGAGAGGCGCTTTTTGAAGAAGGCTGTCCTGCGCTTGAATTCGTCTTTGTATGTATGCGTGATCATGCATTCTCATACACGGGAGCATGTGTGCGTTTATTTCATTTCGGCGCATCAAGAATATTTTGTCTTTTGCCACTTTTCAAACTTGGTACCCTAAGAATATGGGCGTATTTACTATTGGGTTATAATATAAATATTAATATTATATGTTATAATATATTTTTTTAATATTTCAGCATACATTCTATTTTTGTTTACAAATTCAAATCAGTGGTAGCAGTAAAATGTTTTACATATATGTATGTATTCGAATTTATAGAAATCAGTCCACTGAGATGGGAACAGGGCATATCGCAGTCGTGTCACTTGAAACACCGACTGCTCTTCAGTGGTTGAGAAAACTTCAAACTAAATAAATTCTTGTCGATGTTTTGCGAGCGGTTGGTGCCTGCATACCCTACCGACGATTGCTTTTCAGGGGAGCGGGCTTTTAGGACACTTGTTTTAAATGTTATGTTTAGTGATCTTTGATTGATTTATTTTTTAATGATTTGCAGTTTTATTTTAATTGTCTTTAAACAAGTAATAAATAATAAAATACTTTTTATATTTTTGAAAATGTAAATGGAACAAATATAAAAATCCACATTTTTTTAATGATAATAATTTATTTTAATGATTATAATTTTAGATTTTAATTGTACCAATATCTTGAATTTTAACGAATTCTTTAAAGACAATTAAAATAACACTGCGAATCATTAAAAAATAAATCAATCAAAGATCACTAAACATAACATTTAAAACAAGTGTCCTAAAAGCCCGCTCCCCTGAAAAGCAATCGTCGGTAGGGTATGCAGGCACCAACCGCTCGCAAAACATCGACAAGAATTTATTTAGTTTGAAGTTTTCTCAACCACTGAAGAGCAGTCGGTGTTTCAAGTGACACGACTGCGATATGCCCTGTTCCCATCTCAGTGGACTGATTTCTATAAATTCGAATACATACATATATGTAAAACATTTTACTGCTACCACTGATTTGAATTTGTAAACAAAAATAGAATGTATGCTGAAATATTAAAAAAATATATTATAACATATAATATTAATATTTATATTATAACCCAATAGTAAATACGCCCATATTCTTAGGGTACCAAGTTTGAAAAGTGGCAAAAGACAAAATATTCTTGATGCGCCGAAATGAAATAAACGCACACATGCTCCCGTGTATGAGAATGCATGATCACGCATACATACAAAGACGAATTCAAGCGCAGGACAGCCTTCTTCAAAAAGCGCCTCTCTGCGACTGAACGACTGAACTCGTGCAATGAGTGCGCGAGCATAAAAATGAGAATAAGAATGAGAGAGTAAAAAACCCGAACGCACACGAAGTGCATGGACCTGCTGCTGTGAGAGCGGTGGACCTTCCGCGGTCCGAATTTTTGTGTCCAAATGCGTCGTATGAAATGACCAGTCTATATGTTGTATGGTTAGTGATTGTATATAAGATAACCGAGAACTGTGCTCCCCCTTACCCCCAGAATGAAACTTTGTTACTTAGCTTTAAGTGTTGCACACTCCGTCAAGACTTCTCGAAAACAGAAATTCCAACAATTCCCGCTAAACGCCTGCGCATCTGCATTCGAGCATAAAGACAAGATATACAAAAGAAAAGCCAAGTTTTAGTACATTGTTGAAGTTGCTGCTGCTAAACGGGCCAGGATAGACAGGGAGCCGGCGAATCTATAAATAATTAAGGATACAATTAAATACCATACCATAACGTACGATAAACGCTGATCTATATAAATGTATTTAAGTGTGCGGAAAATACAAAAATATATCTCCAAGCTGAGGAGTAGGCGCATGCGCGGTTATCAAAATGTACTCGGCAGAAAATGAATACAAAATATTGAGCATTGTAAAAAAGGTTAAGCTAGAGAAACCAACACCCAAGCAAACGATAGTATATAGAACACCGTTTTGGAAAATTCAGCTTGGCATAGTCTCTCTCCGCACGATAATTGGCATCTAGCGAAACATTTCCACAGTCCACTCCAGGCTCGATGCATCTAAACACACTATGAATCCTTTGCATATATGTATGTATATCTCTGCGGAAAGCGGTCCGGTGTCTCTATCCCCAAAAAGTTTGCAGATTCCTTTCAGTCTCTTCTCGATTTAATTAATTTATTTTCAATCCTCACGGAAATGCGCACAAGTGTCATTCAATTTGCCAAACAATACTTTCAATTGTAAATAATGTAGCTAAGAGTAAATGGGTAATACTTTGGACCGCTTTCCCAGCATCTCACACTCACACTTAGTCGCACTCATAGTAAGAAAATATATTCATATATTTATATATGAAAAATACTATGCATATGTATGTTTGTTCACTCAACTCTCACGCCCATTACAAAGTATAGAAGCATGCATTATAGGAGCAAAAACTAGGAGCAGAGGCGGCGATAGGGAAGCAAACGAGGACGAGATGAAAATGTCCACTAATGAATGTCTCTCATTGAGTGAAATCGCTAAAGTTCATATAATATTAGAGATAATTGTGTCTGTGAATCGTGAGTTATTATACACATATATGTAAACATATATTGCAAAACAAAACGGAAAAAGAGAAAAAACCATAAAAAAATCTAAACGAAATGTAAAAGTTAGCGTTATTATTAAATATGTTTGTAAAACGTCAACAATATGCAACTAAACAAGTGCGAGCGAGAAGCGGATTAAAGTGCATCAACTAACGAGTCATCGGCTAGAAGAGAGAGTATATTTCGAAAACAAAAATTGAACCTATGGCCTAAATACTAAGCAACGTGTGTAAGAAAGTTTTGCATCTTTATATTAGCGTGTAATTAAACAAAACAAATAGCTAAAGAAAGCCCAAGCCTAAACAGCAACTACAACTAGAGCTACTACAAAGAACCCGCGAGTATCATGCCCCCATTGAGAAGCAATAGCGGTCAGATCAGATTCAAATATACCAAGAACACCAACAGAAAAACTAAGTAAAACAAAACTAAAAACATAAATCAGGCCTGTAGAATGTTAGAAGTTGAGGGCAGAAGTTCTTGACCTGTTTGTTATGCCAATCCCGTAACACCAAAATTCTATTCCTAACTAACAGATCCACAACACACGAATAGGACCCATCTCTAGTTAACGTTGATGTTCGCATAGGATGCCAATCAGTGACAAAAAAAACATATTCAAATAATGCAAATGTAAAAAACGAAACAAGATATTAAGTAACAACAAAAATAAAGTAAATAAAAATGTTGAATGCAATGCCTAATAAACGATAAATATTTAAGTCAAGTGGTTTAATGATTACTGTCTCTTCTTTTTTGTTTGTTTTGTGATCAACACTTCTGTTGCACTCTGAGTTAACCTGTTTAGTCCGCTTTCAACTTATATGGTGACTTTAACTATAGTTTCTATTATTGTATTTATATGTATAAACAAATCGAGCATGTTAAATCGTAACTGCAAAAGCTGCTTAGAGCCAGCTAAGCAAAGAAGTATAAGTAAAAGCAAAACTCGTTAAGTACTTTTAGAGACAAAACCTTGTACTAAGAAATGTACTAAAATAAAGTCGCATTAACAACGTTGCATCAAAAAACAAACAAAAAAAAATAAAATTAAGTGCCGAAAAACGGAAAAAGCTAACAAAAAAACAACAACAATAAGAGCAAAAATAGTTAAAGCGCTTAAACAATATATATACTATGGATACTAACAATGAAAAGAGAAAGCAGCCGATGGAAAAGGATAAATATATATGTGAATTATGTATTTTCTTATGTTCTAGACTTGTAAAAAAAACCTATCGTATATGACACACGCTATTATTATGTATAACTTTGATTTCTTGTTCTATAGGACGGTGTGCGAGGATTTCGATTGTTTTCTTGGGTTAAAGGCACACTGCAGCACACTCACCCACACACCATACACCACAACACACCCACTCATACTCACTCACACACACACAACTAAACAAAATCTTATGCTGAGAGTAAATATAAAGAGTAAATTATAATTACACAAACATAAATGGAAATAAATATATATAGGTATATACATGCATATATATATATACAAAATATATATACAAGAGCATCGGAAAACAAAGGTTTAGTTGATTGCTTTCGAATCCAGGCAGAAAAATGTGAAAAAATTAACTAAATGCGAGAGGCAGCAGAAAAATAATGAAATTGCATGGCGCAGACGAAAACAAATACTTAGCTGCAAGCAGAATTAACCAAAAATATTAAAAACCAAGTAAAACATGAAAACACACAAACTGAATGAATGAAATGAGTACGAGCAAACGGAGAGAAAAGAAGCAAAGAGATCAATCAACAATAAAAAATTAATAAATACAAAATAACACACAAAATTTGTTTGATTTACCATTTCAAGCTGCAAGAAATGAAAAAAATGGAAATTCTTCAACTAAAGGGTGAACTTAAACTTAGAGATCTAT